TAACACATGTAGCATGAATTAGCAAATTAACATTTCTTGATTTGTAATAAACTATTAATCCTAATGAAGAGAGGGGGAAAAATCCTTTAGAGATGCTTTCTAAGTAGTATCTCCTCATGTCCAGTGCAAAAAATGTTGGCTTGATTACAATGCAAAGCACAGTTTCAACAACATGGTATGTTTGTGCCATTAAATAGCTTTTTTTGGGAAAATGGATTACAGTTAAGTTTTATTTCCTTTAGACTGTACTGTAAACTTAAGAAGTTTTTGCTTGATGTAAGCTGTTATTTGCATAGTGTATAGCAGGGACTGACTTGAGGGGTCTGCATCAAGTTTTCATCTTTTATATTAAATGTTTTTATAAGCCTTACTTTACTAAATGTTATATCTTGTAATAGTTCTTAATTATCTATTTATAAGAGTATGAGAAACATTTCTATGACCTAATATAAAAAGGAAATCATTTTATTTACAAATGCGTTTTCCTATCTTTGCCAATACATTTATTGAGTTTCATGACCATTCGTACATGAGTCATAAATATCTTAGAAGTAAAATAAAAATATAGATATTTGAGGATATAAAGTATTTAATAGCACTATTAAATACTTATAATACATATTATAATAGCCATATTGTTAAGAGGTTATGAACTCTGTTTCCATGTGAAAATGAAGCAAATGCAAAAGAGGTCAGTCACTTACATAACTAACTTAACTCTGTTTGAACAGATTGCAGCTTTTCTACACAGCTTAGTGTTGATACTGGGTGCAGTGAATTAAAAATGGTTTAATGTGCGCCTGCCTTGAAGTGTTCCTGTTCCCGTTGCATATCTGCTGATGATTTAACTCATCTGGCTTTAAAAAAGTGCAGAACAGAAGTATTTTTGGAAAATATTTTGAGGCCAAAAGGATAAATTGGCTTGTTTATTTACTTTGTTTGTTTTTGTTAGATCAAACATGCAAATGGTTTCTAACCTTTCAGTTGTGTTTTAACAGTCAGTTTATTATCCCTCGTTAAGACAATAATGTAAAAGACTTTAGATCCAGACTTTTGTTGATTCATATGTAATGAGTGGAGAAAAGCTTTTTACAGCAATGTTAGTGATATTTAAGTCTGCAACAGATATATGATAGGAATACAAATATGACAGTTTAGACTGCACATCAAGCTGTCGATAAATGAGTAAAAAAGGATTACTTTAGCAATGAATAAAACTTTTCATTTAAAAAGAGCTGCAGTATACAGTAATGGCAGCTGAGTGATAGAGGTTATGTATTCAGTCTTTTACAAACAAAAGTCTCTAAAATCAAAGCTGTAGTTTGTATTCCACAGGTGTAGTATAATTTGCTTGTGCGTGCTTTGTGTTGGTTCTGTGGATGACCTTTGCTTTTCCTGTTTAAAAACATGACTCTACCCTCAGGCAGAGACCTGAAAATGCAACAGTAAAGTTCAGTGCACCCATTTCTAGAACATGTTTCTTCTTGAACTAATTTTCTGTAAAATGCATCAGCATGCGCAATGAACTTCTCCAAAAATTTTTTTAGTAGGTTGTATTTTTCATAACCCCGTTTGGGATAAGCGAGATGGAAAATGGATGGATGTATTTTTCATAAACATGAAATATAAATAGCTGGTTTAAAAAATGCTTTAATGTTTTCCTAAATTTTATCAGTAATACGTGTTTTTTCTTCTTCTTTTTTTTTATTAGGTGAATAAAGCTTTCAACATAAGCCAATCTGGATTATATGATACTGAAAGAGAAACCCTGCTGTGCATAGATAAGAGCAGATTTCAGCTGGATATGAGGAGAGGTTTTCAATCCTCTTAGCTATATACTGATTATATCAACATTTTGTTTACACAAATCACAGTGTTTTTTTTTAGTTAGGCATTCCTCGTTTACATCACAACAAAAAAAATGAAACAAGTTTTTTAAAAGATGAATGCGTAATTTTTATCTGTTTAAATTTGGGTTGATAAGCTCACATGGCTGTAAGAAACAATAGTAAGCAGCAGGTTTTAAGATGCTCAGCTGGCATTAAATTAAATCATGATGGTTGGGTAACTTTAGGCAGATTTCAGAGGAAAACTATGTAGGTTAGTTATGATTACCCAAATTATTCATATAGTATTTCCTTATTGCAAAAATAAACCAAAAATCAAAACCGTATTGCTTGTTGGTGTACACTGCTTAGGCCAATTAGATTTGATTTTACTTCTGCTAATAATTTTCTGCTTTCTTATAAGAATTTGTACTGTGATCTTATTTCCATACACTAAGATTATTAAGTCTCTCTCTAAAGTCTTTGATTTCTGTTTATTTAGAGTATCAGCATCCAAGCTTGTCTTTCATTTTTTTACAGCAAAAGCAGTAAAGACTAATTTTGCAAAATTTTTAAACTTTTCCACACTTCCATTGTTCAGCTTAACACCCTAATGCCCCCATATGAGCCCTAAGAGATCATATCCACATAAGCAAGAAACTGTTTAGTGACTATTAATGTGATTCTAAGCAAGAAAAAGAACCTCATTAAGCTTGTTTGCACACTTATTTTCTGTAGATCTGTTTGTTTGTTTGTGCCACAAATATTGATTGGTTCTTTTTGTCTTGTTTTAATTTTTCTTGATAAGACAAAGCAGTATTATTTATTTTCTTATTTGTCCTTTTTTCTGTTTGTGTATGTCCCTGTGGCTTTGGAGATACTGTATGTGAAGCATACAGCACACTTTGTTTATCCCTTAGAGATGTTTCCCTCCATTCGCTGGCAGCACAGCTGTCCTGAGACCAGACACAGCTGTGGGGTCAGCCCTCTAAAGACAACATGTCATTATCTAGGCATTAAACTGTTTTCCTATAAGGTATGCAGGCTACAAAGAGAAAACTGTGCTGTTCACTTCCACATCCAAAGATTTAGTTAGTAAACAAAGGGATATTAATTCACTTTCTGTAAGAGCATTTTTACTTTTAAAGATGCAAACTCATGTCTGCAACTAAAGGTACAATTGACAGATGACAGGAAGTGCATTTCAATTTACTAATTTAATCTATAGTGATTTCATCTGTTAGTTATGCTTATATCACAACTGTGGTTTTTAAGAGTAGAGGTTTTGTGCAAGTGGCTTCTTTAAGGTTATCTGGCTAACACAAATGGGTTTGTTAAAGGGACCTGGCCTCCTGCTATCCTGATAGTTTATTTAGTCTTTTAGCCTTCCTGTTTGTCACTTGACTCTGGCTCGCCACATGGTACCTGTATCATCTTTGTTCTCGCTAGCCCAATCATAACATGAAAAAGTATTTATATGGGTCTTTTTAGAACAGTCAACTTCTCTAAATTTCAATGCTAGATCAGCAGAGAAAGTCTAAATTTCTTAGGATCAGTTCTTGTGAAAGTATTACGGTGAAGAAAATACATGACTTTTTGTGTGTCATGAATTATTTTTCATCAAATGCATGACCTAAATTTTTTTATTCTTTAAAACATTTTAATTCTTTTTTTCCTGATTCGTTTTCTATGTTAAGTGCTTTACTTATTGAAATGGCAACTAGAGATTAATCTTTATTTATATCTTACTTACAAGTTAATACAAAATAATATTTATTGTTATAGCAATGCTTACAATTACGGTTCACTATGTTTCTTGGTTTTGAAGTTATGGTTTTGCAAGTTTAATTACTGTATACAGAAAAAAATGTTTAACTTTAAAAAATAAATGTTTCACCTCATTTTTAGCCAAACCTTTAGTTGTGAACTAAATTGACATTTGTTTTTACTTTGGGTACGAATAAAGGATAGGCAATTATAGACTACGGTATATTTTTGTTTTATTATTTTTAATAAGAATCTTTCAATGTAATATTCTTTTTCTGTACTTTGGAGTTATTTTGATATAAAGAAATCTTTGAATATATAAGTTTAAGAGGCATTGTCAGAAAATCTCCTTTCATCCATTTCCACCACCATTACGACAGCCATGGCATTTGAGGATGGTTAAAAGCTGCAAAAGGCTGGATTTTGACTTTAGCCTTTTTTTCTTTGAACAGTTATTTTTACATTACAGCTTGAAGTTGTTCAAGAAAGAAAGCCACTTATATGAGTTATGTTACTGAACACAGTCGTAAGCCACCCAGCATTTATTTCTGAAGATACATTCATAATGATTAGACTAGAATTGGAATTAAAAGTTAATTTTCCCATAAGTAAAACACATTGTATACAGTGAAGTTTAATACCTGCTTAAAGGTTGTTATGTTCAAAACATTCTCCATAATCTAACAAGCCAGCTTTATCAAAATGCACATGCAAGAAGCTTGGTCAGGCTATTGGAAGCAAGTTTCCTCTATGTTTTCATTAAAACTTGTTCATAATACAGCTCCTAAGAGGTTTTCATTGTACTGCCATTTCACTGTGCTTGGAAAATAAAAAAAAGTTTTTCTATCGCTTTGCAAATGGCTCTGAATGCAATGCACTGAATATTTTAAAGCTGCAGAGACCAGTTTTTGCTTTCTTTCACGGCCAACATTTCAAAGGGGATAACCCAGATTTATTAGAATAATAAGGTAATTTGCATGGCCTGTACAATTAACAAGTCAAACATAGGAAAGCTCTTGTAATGAAAAATGTGATACACTGATCTCAATCTGACACTATAACTGTTTTTTTACATAAAATGAAAAACACCCAGTAGACTAACAAGGATCAGGAGTTATTGAAAGAGGAAGATTCAACAATTAGTTATACTTTTGTTCCTGCAGCTTGTGGCCTGTACCGCAAAACTCCATGTTGATTCATGTTATCGTTTTTTATATAAAAATAAAGAAAATGTCCCTGTATTGTTTGGCTTTATTTACCAGCCACTTACTTTTCTTTCCATTTAATCATAAATCCAGGACAAATAACAGTTATTGACTCAAACATAAAAGGCAGATTTATTCAGATTTGTTTTTTTTTTTTAGTCAAGCCAATATAATTGTTCTCTTCTGTGTCTTTTCACTGTAGCATTTTCCGGCTGTGAGTGCGGCCTTCATGGATTCTCCGTACAATGGCAACGCGTCCTTGCAGACGTCCACATCCAACCTCAATGCCAGTTACTCACGGCCCTCAGAAGCTGATGATGATGGAAAAGTGTCCAGTGATACAATCTGGTTGTGGATCGCTGTGCTGGCCACCATTGGCAACATAGTGGTGGTGGCTGTGGTGTGTGCCTGTGCCTTCTGACGCAGAAGAGGAGCAGATCAGGAAACTACTTGCAATCAGACATTTGAACTTTAACTTTTTTCCTCTTAATTTAATTGAAAATAATGCTTTATTGATAAAGCAGTCCGAGATCATTGACTTGTTTAATATGTGTGTCCAAACTTGAGGTATGCAGGGAAGCTTCTCATTAAAAATATCCCTCAGTAACATTTGAAAACAATTAGAAGGGTAGAAAACTCAGGCAATGAGAATGATAATTAGCCATTAAATGGAAAACTGCAAGATGGCCAGGGAAATGTGCAAAACCAAAATTATACAATATTAAACAGGGCTGAAATAATTCGTTTTTTAAATTTTGTTATAGATTGCTTTAAGTTTACGCTTAAAGTGGGTATACCGACTTTTTATAAACCATCTGGTTAATTATTTTGTCAATTTTCAATTCCTTCTTTTTCAATTTCAACAACAAAGAAGTAACTAAGCAAAAAACAGTTATAATAATGATTTATACCATACCAAGTGTATATAGTACCTAATTAAATAATTTTTAAAGAACAATAACTTAGCTTGAATTGTGATTTTCTCTTTAAATGGTAAAGACTGCCTTCAGAAGAACATGTCTGTAGGTCTGCCTTTTAAAGTTAACTAGGTCGCAGAAATGCCCTTTTTAGTTTTCTCATGAACTTTGTATATACATATTTAAATGGCAACAGCCCCAGAGCAAGTACCTACATTTATTCCCCAGTACCAGACTGAAAACCAAATATGGCCTAAAAATAAGAGCATTTAGGCTTGCCGGTATTGGAAACAGGGCAGCGGTTATATAAACTGATCATATGTAAGCCTATACATTGGCGATTACAGCATAGGCTTAGGGAAGGACAGGATTAGATGAGATCTTAGCTTAATCTTTTAGTGGTTTCAAACCACTGTATTATCTAGTTCTTATTTTATATATACTTTTCAAAAAACGGATAGAAACTCAAGGTAAAATGGTAACAATACTTGACGAAGACTTAAGTCCAAATTTCTTTTTTCATGCTCATTTGATTTTGGTTTGTTTTGTATTACACACTTGGATCGGTTGATTTGAAATGACTTTTTACGTTAATTGTTGCTCACCCTTTTCCTGCAGTGACTCAGTGACATAACGGAGCAGCAGCCGCACAGCTTGAGAATCTGTCCTTGTATCTGTTCTTGCAGTGCTGCATGCCATTAATTTGTTGTTAATAATGCTGTAAAGTCATCTGCTGTATTTTACTGAGTTGAACTGCTGCAACTTGTGTTTTTTGTGGGTGGGAATAGGAGGCCCAATTGCATCACTATTGGTTTGTAAAACTTACAAAAGTGTATAATCCTCATTTTGAAAAAATAAACTGTATTTAATGCTGGTAAAAGAGCAATTCGACAAATCCATCAAGATCTTTACCGTATTAAAAGAATATAGGAATATGGGAAATTATGCATTCTTTCAGATTTAGATGCCAGTGAATGATTCAGACCTAAAAACAAATTCAAATCTGTTTATAAGAGCTGGAGTCAGCTTTTTTTCTCCCGTGCTTAAGCCTGGTTACTACTACTAAGACCTAATAAAAAAAATTAATTATTTCACTTGAGTCCATCTGACAACTTGCACATACATTTATTTATTAGTTTTTTTTTTTTTTACTTTTCACATCATCCTCTGATCTGAATAAAATCAAGAACAAAGGAAATATATATATAATGTACAACTATGTTTATATATTATGTCTGTCTGAAAAAGGAAACAATGCATTTTAAAAGGCTTTAGGAGCCACTGCCCAAACCAGAATAAATCTGGAACAGGGATTAATTGTGAGGAAAAGCTGTTCAACCAAGAGTACATCCACAACTCACCCAGGAGGGTAGAACAATGTCTAAAGCGCTACACCTACTTCACCTGCCTTAGTTCAGGCCAATGTTCATCATTCAACACTAAAAAAAAGAGACTCAAGGGCAAAACTACTTGGCAGAAACTGTAGCATGTCAAAGATACGCTAGAAGGGAAAATATGTGAACTGATAAGGGAGAAGTTCAACTTTTGAGATGTGTGTCCCACTTGATGTGGTGCATAAAACAACAGCTGCGTTTTGTAAAAAATAAATTCATACTGCCATTAAAGCAGAAGAGATGGTGGTGTACTGATCTGTTGCTGCTTTACTGTGTCTTTAAAATCCTTAAAGATGCCAGGCAAGAATGTAAACTTAAGTGCACAAAGTTTATAAGCAACAGCAGGGGTCAGTTTCAGGAAGCAGGTTTAACAAATTCAGATTCAAATCTGGAACTTTAAATTTATCTAACCTAAAGTCGGGAACTCTGAGTGTTCTTTTTCATAACGGCTGCTATCAATTAGTTCAACCAATTTTAATTAGGTCCACTCAGAGTTAAACGCGTGCACAACAATTGAATATTGAGATCTGAAGTTAATTTCTAGACATCCAGAATGTTTATTCTAGATGTGAATAATGTCATTGTGTTTGAAATAGTCATTTAGACAAAGAAAAAAGGCTTTTTTTCAGATATCAGGAATAGATATTCAGTAAAACTAGTACATATCAAAACGACTTGCCATAGAATCATCTCATGCATCCCTTCTCCTGTTGATTCAGTCTTTTCTTTACACAATAAAGAGGATGTTTGCAGACAAATGGTCTTTATAAACGGCTATCAGTCCCCTCAGATTGTGCCAGTAGGCTCATTAGGTTGTTATCATCGAGTGGATCCTAATCCTAACGTAACTTTCTCTTTCCCCCACAGAATTACTGAATTTATTTATGTGTAATCTGAAAATAATATCAGTTGTTCTTCTTGTACTGTTAATATAACTTAATACAAATAAAATGATTCGCATCTCACTCATATTAAACAAACCAAAAACAAGTGATCTCATGCCATGTCAACTCAGTTGTAGAATCCTCTCCCTATAAATAGTTAATTCTCTGTGAAAAAGTTCCAATCATTCTTTAATATATATATATATACATATATATATATATATATATATATATATATATATATATATATATATATATATATATATATATATATATATATATATACAGGTGCTGGTCATAAAATTAGAATATCATGAAAAAGTAGATTGATTTCAGTAATTCCATGTAAAAGGTGAAACTTGTATATTATATTCATACATTACATACAAACTCATATATTTCAGATGTTTATTTTGTTTAATTTTGATGATTACAAATGACAACAAATGAAAATCTCAAATTCATCATATCAGAAAATTAGAATATTGTGAAAAGGTTCAAAATTGATGGCCCCTGGTGCCACACTCTAATCAGCTAATTAACTCAAACCACCTGCAAAAGCCTTTAAATGGTCTTTCAGTCTAGTTCTATAGGCTACACAATCATGGGGAAGACTGCTGACTTGACAGTTGTCCAAAAGACGACCATCGACACCTTGCACAAGGAGGGCAAGACACAAAAGGTCATCGCTAAAGAGGCTGGCTGTTCACAGAGCTCAGTGTCCAAGCACATTAATAGAGAGGCGAAGGGAAGGAAAAGATGTGGTCGAAAAAAGTGTACAAGCAAGAGAGATAACCGCACCCTGGAGAGGATTGTGAAACAAAACCCATTCAAAAATGTGGGGGAGATTCACAAAGAGTGGACTGCAGCTGGAGTGAGTGCTTCAAGAACCACCACACACAGACGTATGAAAGACATGGGTTTCTGCTGTCGCATTCCTTGTGTCAAGCCACTCTTGAACCACAGACAGCGTCAGAAGCGTCTTGCCTGGGCTAAAGAGAAACAGGACTGGACTGCTGGTGAGTGGTCCAAAGTCATGTTCTCTGATGAAAGTAAATTTTGCATTTCCTTTGGAAATCAAGGTCCCAGAGTCTGGAGGAAAAGAAGAGAGGCACTTCATCCACGTTGCTTGAAGTCCAGTGTAAAGTTTCCACAGTCAGTGATGGTTTGGGGTGCCATGTCATCTGCTGGTGTTGGTCCATTGTATTTTCTGAGGTCCAGGGTCAACGCAGCCACATACCAGGAAGTTTTAGAGCACTTCATGCTTCCTGCAGCTGACCAACTTTTTGGAGATGCAGATTTCATTTTCCAACAGGACTTGGCACCTGCACACAGTGCCAAAGCTACCAGTACCTGGTTGAAGGACCATGGTATCCTTGTTCTTAATTGGCCAGCAAACTCTCCTGACCTTAACCCCATAGAAAATCTATGGGGTATTGTGAAGAAGAAGATGCAATACACCAGACCCAACAATTCAGAAGAGCTAAAAGCCACTATTAGAGCAACCTGGGCTATCATAACACCTGAGCAGTGCCACAGACTGATCGACTCCATGCCACGCCGCATTGCTGCAGTAATACAGGCCTAAGGAGGCCCAACTAAATACTGAGTGCTGTACATGCTCATACTTTTCATGTTCATACTTTTCAGTTGGCCAACATTTCTATAAATCCTTTGTTTTTATTGGTCTTCAGTAATATTCTAATTTTCTGATATGATGAATTTGAGATTTTCATTTGTTGTCATTTGTAATCATCAAAATTAAACAAAATAAACATCTGAAATATATGAGTTTGTATGTAATGTATGAATATAATATACAAGTTTCACTTTTTACATGGAATTACTGAAATCAATCTACTTTTTCATGATATTCTAATTTTATGACCAGCACCTGTATATATATATATGACTAAATCAGGATATAAAACAGTGTGATTAGCTGTAAGGAGAGCAGAGACAGAGGACACTGAGCTTACTAAATAGAACCTGCTACCGACCAGATTAGCTCTGGGGAGAATGTTACTACAGTGACTGAAACAGAGGTTGAGGAAACCAGAAAAGTCAGTTTCCGTTTTCAGGTTTAGTTAACTTAGAGTTTTCGGTAAACCTGCTTCATAAAATGGACCCCAGGAGAGTTTACTAAAACACAATGATATCTTCAACAATTAATGACACAACAATCAAACGTTTGATGTTTCATAGTTAAAATCCGGCAATAATCAATTGTGGTGGAAACAGTTTTTAGTTTAGCAGGATACAACTTTCACAGGATCACCAAGATTTTCTATAGTAGATGGATTTATCTTTTGAAAATTCTTTTTATTTTTACTCATTTTTCTTTTTCTTCTTCTTTAGATTTAGTGTGATCACTCAAAAAAGTCAGGTTTTAAATAAAAAAGCAAAAACAGAAAGTGAGATCAACAGTTATAACTCTTAACTGGACTTAACTTATTTTTTTTGGTTCTCAATGCTTCAGAAACGTCAGATTTTTTTTCCAGCAGGCATAATATTTCAGACTATTTTAAGAGGTTCAGCTGAAACATGCAGTTCAGCTTGCCTAAATGGGAAATAAGGTCCAATTTATCAAGACAAAATGATGCAAATTCATTTTCCAAAGATACAGGGCTCAGTTAGGCAGTGATTTGTTGAAATTTAATAAGCAAGAAAAGGGTCACACCAGGGGCGCTTCTTTGTGTGAGGGCAGCTTTTCCCCTCATTATTTGAATAAACGCATCATTAAAACTTGTGTTAATACTAGTGTCCTTTTTCCATGCAGATCATTGAGATTATTAGTGAGGACATTGGTTTTCAAACAGCCAATGGGGAAGAATAAATGGAAGAAGACACTGAAGCACAGAGGGCTAGTGGTGACGTGGAAATAATGAGGCAAGATTAAGACAGGGGATCTCTGAGAGCAACAGGAAACTATTTATAACTCTGCTTTGGTCATCAGAAAAACTGCTTTGTCAAAAAATAATAGAATATAATAGAATATATTTAACCAAAGCCAGAGTAACAGACAAAATGTGTAAGTTAGAACATTATTTATAGGAGGTGAAGGGTAATGATTGATGACCACTCTACATCGGTTAGAGGTTAAAAAAATAGAGGAAAATCAAACAAGCAGAAAGCCCTTATTGTATGAGCTTAATTAGCAATGTGAGAAAGACATCAGATGAGAGGGAAAGATAGTGCTGAAGGAAAGTGATGTATTGGAGGAGACAGATAAAGAATGAGAGAGGTGGTGCGAGGAGGAAGAGAGCAACTGAGGGAAAGTAGTCATCACAGAGTACAGTTTGTCAGGTTGACAGGGAGGGAACTTAAAACAGGTGCAGTTTCAACTTTGAGCTGAATATATGAAAACACCAAAGAAAGGAAGTAAAACATCTGAATTATGCAGAGTAGCTGTATTCATACTTAAATTAAATTACACACTAAAACATGTTTGTTACTTTAAAGAGAAGGGGACTGGTTGAACAAGCTTTTAATTTCAGGGATCAAAATAATATTTGGGGGTTGTTAAGGCTATATGATGGAGCAGCGGAGAAAAGTACAAATATTTATGAAACCACTCTGACTAAAGCCAATATCTTGGTGCTAA